TATGTATATGTATATGTATATGTATATGTATATGTATATGTATATGTATATGTATATGTATATATATATATATATATATATATGTGTATGTACATGTACATGTATATGTATATGCATATGTATATGTACATAGATATATGCATATGCATGTATACATATACCCACATACATATATACATATATATATACATATATATATATATATATATAGATATGCTCGTTCCCTCTGTGATCAGCCCTCCCCGTGCTCTTCCGTCAAATGTAAACTGGGTGCATGCAGCGGCCGCGACAGTGTCCGGGCATCAGCAATCGGAGTGCAAGTGGCCAAGTGGCAAACGATAAAGCAATAGTATAATGCAGGGAGAGCATATTTCTGCCACATCCTGGACGCCAAATTTGAATCGCGCACTCCTGCAGAACGTTCTACGCCGAAGACAGGGCGGGCTCTTGGGCTCAGTGAAGCGCTCTGAAGGGCTCTGCCCATTATTCCAGAATGTCCACCGCACCGACCGCGCGCGGCACGCGGCGGCGAGCGTGCCGACCCCGCGCGCGCGAGATTCGAGATGTTCTGGCGAACGTGCCCAGAAGCGATCAATAATCAGTGTCCCAGACTTGGCGCGCAGCGTGGCGCCGCTCGGCAGCGCGGGATTCGCCGCCTCGGAGGATTTCGTTTTCAGCCAGAACGTGTTCCCCTGCCGCTCGACTTTCTTCTTCGCGTGGGCGATTCCGTCGTGGAGGGCGCCTGGTGTCTTCATTTTGTAAGCGCGCCCCGTCCGCGTGCAGTGCCACTTTCGTCTGGCGAGGCGCTGCTGAGCGATGGGTTTCCAATCGCGCTTGCGAATTGGTCCAGGCCCAGGCGCGCGCTTTTATGTCTTGCGCGGGTGGAGACGGGTTAGTACCGAAGTCTTTGGCCTCCCGCGTTCGATCAGTCCTCCCCACTGCTCCCGCCTCGCTTGCTTGTCATTGTCAGAAACTGCCACGTCGTCGTCTCTACCCAGATCCACTTCGTCCGTCTCCACGTCTGGCCACTCGTCGACGTTGCCAAACTTAGTCTTCTTCTCCTCCTGCAGGACGTGTCGCATCCTGGCGCCGTCGAGGCGTGCGCTGTATGAGCTCGTGGCTGTTCTCCGTGATCTGGTGGCGCCTGGTTTGTTGCGATATTCCAGGTCGCACATAAACAAGTCGCCACTTACCAGCAAGCGAAGGGGGTGGACTGCTCCCACCCCGCCGAGAATGCAGGTGGTTGTGGTGGGGCAGCGCAAACTGTTGGGCACTTCATGCTGCTGCAGCGACCGGCCAGGCCTCTGCGCGCGACGTCTTCCATGGGGCCCACGTGCCCGCCCGCGCACCATGGGCAGACCGTGCCGTGCCAATCTGGAGTCTGCCCAGCAGCGGTGAGCTCCATCGCGAGCTGCGTGGGGGAGGCTGTGTGCGCGGCCTTCGGGGTGCGTTAGATAGCGGGGCGGTCACCTCGAGACGTGGGTGTCAGTTGGCCGTGTCCCACGTGGGGCGCGCGCGGTGCGCTCTTCTTTGTTTTCTGTTCTCGCCACCTCCATTGCCGTGCGTGCCTTCCCGCGCTCGGGCATGCGAGACTGAGAGGCGGCGGACTTCTTGGCGCGCGGTCGAGAGGAGCCAGCAATCAAATCCAGACAGGCTGTCTCGACGCTGCCGTCGACAAGACCATCTTCCGTGACTCGCAGCAGGCGGGCGTGGCGTCGGCCTCTGTCCCATTGGGTAACCAGGTCGTGCGAGGCCTCGTCGGTAATCAGCATCGCAACGTCCCAGTGCGAGTCGTGCACCAGCACCTGCTGCAACTCCCCGTTGGCGCGGAGGCCAACTGCGTGGCCGCGAGTGTCGGGCAGTCCAATGTGCAACAAGAAGAACCGGGTTGGCGCAGATCATGTCGCTCAGCCATACGTCGTGGAATTCCAGAGCGGGATGAAGATTTTGCACTTGTTGATGAGAATATGGGCCTCAGGCAAGTCTGGCCTGGCTCGGTTCCTCGGCAACCAGGTCCATATGGTCGCAAGTTGCCGCTGGGAGCGAGGGGAAGTCGTTGTGGTGTGGCGGCGAAGGGGGGGCGCCTCCTGGACCCTGGGCCTTCTCTCCTGGCTCGGGAACAGAATTCCTCCAGGGGATCTCTGCGCCATTCAGATCTTGCAAATACAAAGATGCATTGTGCTCGTTTTCGATTGCAGACACAAGTCCGATGAAACCCTCGCCGTGCACGTCTGGCCCCAGTGGCCTGAAGGATCTGCCGTCGAAGATCAGCAAGGTTGGCGCGGCTCCCGCTTCCGCTGATACCTGCTTCATACACGTCGAAGCCTGGCGGTCCAGCTCCCCCAGCTACATGCGAAGCGAGCTGCGTTCAGGTCGCGCTCGAGGAGAATCCGAGAGGTATGCGTTACTTCCGTTTGCAGGCGATCAAAATATGGGAGCCAATCAGGCCGCTTCTCTGGATCTGGCGACTGCCGGCCGTAGGAGTTGGTCGCCGAGATGAGCAGCGCCGTGGCCGCGCCCGCCCCGGCGCCGAAGTACCTTGATGCAAAACTCGTCGACCCGCCCCAATTTCTGACGATGTCGCGCAGCAGTGGGAACTCTGCCCCGACGCGTAACCTTCCGTGGCGCTTCAAGGACGCAGCCAGCAAACTGAAGACTGCAACTTTGATGTCGAATTACAGGGCGCCTCCTAGCATTCCAGCCAGAGCGGCGCGCCGGACTTTTCTGGTAATCTTCTGCAGAGAAGGGCCAATTTTGTGAAGTGCCCTATAACTTTGCTTCGTGTACTTTCGAAAAAGACTCCTTAGGGAACGCTGCTGGCCGTCTCCAGCGGTTTCCATGGATGCTGCTCCCCGCTTTACCGATAAACGAGCTGAGGCTTGAGTCTGGGCCTGTTGCCTGTCGGCTCTGGAGTCGACGTGGTCAGCCCAGGCTGCGAGGTTCACGACGTCTGCAAACTGCCCATCGGTGGTTGAAGGTCGGTATTTTTGGATTGTCGGTCTCCAATCTACTTCAAGCGCCTTCCTACTTCAATGATTGAGGGGCTTCACCTTTTCCGTCCTCTTCAGAGGGCGGGCGGACACCCAATCAGCTTCCAGCGCTTTCCTAGTTCATGTTTCTACCTACTTCTTCCGGTGCGTGGTTGTGGAGGAGGAGATCTGGCGAGACTCTCGTTCGACGTCAGAGATGTGACCTTCGTCCCTGGGCCGAGCTGTCGCGGCCCATCCTTCCCTGGGGGGGCGCCGCCGGCGCAGGGGAATCTGGAACTTTCGGGAGCGCTGCGCCACGTCGCGCCAGCCATCGCCTGGGGGGTAGTGGCGCGTGGCGCTGTTGCTTGCCGAAAATGTTCACGTCGGTGTCTCCCAGGGCCAAGAAATTGGTTAAAGGCCCGCAGCTTTCTGCGAGCGACGCCAATTTCTTGAACGTGGCGGCTCTTGGAAAGTCGAGTTCACGGCGCGCATCTTTTGCAACTTTCCAAGCCCCCACACTGGTCGACCCCTGCATTTTTAATAACGTGCGCTCCTGTCCGTGCTTCATCTTAGCTTCTTTTTCCTGCAAGTTTCTCAAACAGTCTGTTAATGTGTCCCAGCCGGAGTCGCTGCCGCAACCCGCTCCTCCGCCTCCATATTCTCGTCGCCTCTCTTCTTCCTCACGTATCGTATCTAGCTCCTGTTCATCGTCGTTCCCATCACCATTGTCAACACCATGACCAGCATTCTCGAGATCGCACTCATCTTCTCCAGGCCCTCATCAGCTGACGCCTCTTCATCATCACCATCATCTCCACCATAACCGTCATCATCAGACTCGTCATCATCGTCGCCATCATCCCCGTTACCATCAACAACAACATTAGTACCACCATCATCATCACCACCATCATCATCATCATCATCATCATCATCATCATCATCATCATCATCATCATCACCATCATTATCATCATCAGCATCAACATCATCATCATCATCATCATCATCATCATCATCATCATCATCATCATCAACATCATCATCATCATCATCATCATCATCATCATCATCATCATCATCATCATCATCATTATGCTTATCACCATCACCATCATTATCATCATCAGCATCAACATCATCATCATCATCATCATCAGCATCATCATCATCATCATCATCATCGTCATCACCATTTTCATTTTCATCTTCACCAATCATCCGAACCCTTTCATGTGTTCACTCGTCCTCTTTCACATCCCCCTCTTCCTCACTGACACTCCTCCTCTTCCTCCTCATCTTCCTCGCTGGGCTCATAATTCTCATCCCGGTCCGCACTTTTCGCTCCTCCTCTTACTTCTTCTCCTCGTCCTCCCCCGTCCTCATCCCACTTCTCTCCCTCCTTCTCCTCATCCTCCACTTCCTCATCCTCCTTCTCTTCCTCCTCCTCCTCCTCCTCCTGTTCCTCCTCCTCCTGTTTCTCCTCCTCCTCCTCCTTCTCATCCTCCTCGCGCCCGAAGCCGGAGGGCGGGAGAGCGGGAGAGCGGGAGGGCGGGAGAGCGGGAGAGCGGGAGAGCGGGAGAGCGGGAGAGCGGGCAAGTGGGATAGCGGGATAGCGGGACAGCAGGAGAGCGGGAGAGTCGATCAGCGTGCAGATTGCAGTAGCCTGAGCCCGCTCCAGCCGCCTCCCCCCCCGGCCTCCCGATCTCCGCAACTTGCCGCCTCCCTTTCTCCTCCACCTCCTCCCGTCGTTTTTGACTCCGCTTTCTCCCTCCTGCTCGTTCCTCGCTGCCCTCCGTCCCGCCCTCCTGCCCAGTGGCCGCACCGCGGAGCGGAAGTGGGCGCGAGGCCGCGCGACTGGGGCAGAGAGTGAGCGCAAGAGGAGGGCGGCCCCCCTCCCCCCCTCGTCGGGGACGAACGGTTGCTGCGGGAGTGGCGGGGGGTCCAGGTGACTGGGGTGGCGGCAGTTGGAGCGGCGTCCGCCACGAGGGCCTCGGCCACGGCTCGCCGCCGCGCCCCTTGTGCCCTCAGGTCTCCGCGTCTGTCCGGCTCCAAGCTCCTCAACCAGTCCTATGTGGCAGTGCCGGCGCCAAAGAACGACGAGGAGCCTGCAGAGTCGCTTGCCCTGTTTGCGCTTGCCCGATGACCGTTGACAGGAAAAGGAAAGTGCGTAATCAATGGGCAGCGGTGATGCGGGGGCAGTGGTGAGATTGCCAGGCCAGCAGGTACAGACGGAGTGTAGGCACCCAAAGAGCTGATCAGGAGCGGAAGCATAACATGGGTAAGGAATGTTCATGTTCACTTCGACGCGCCTGGCTTTTAATCTTTGGGAGTGCATTCGAAGATGCCTGTCTGAGATGACGATCTAACCAAGCTTCCGTCGAGCCCTGATATTACGCCTCGAGCATGTTGTGCCCAGGTCAGACTTGCCCATGAGATCATTGCCTGTTTCGAGAAAGACGGCTGCACAGTGCCACCTGTTTTGCTTGGTTCTCTTGAACCGGGCGCTGGTTCATTGCGCAATGCTTGCTCATCGTATTAGCCGCTATGCGGTGCTGTGCTGTGCTATGCTGTGCCGTCCTATTCTATGCAGTACCATTCATGACCATGCAACGTTGCGCCGTGTCAAGCTATGCTCTACAATGCACGGGTCAGAATAGGGGGGCCGAATGGTCATTCATTGTCCCTGGGTGCGTGGCTGAAGTGTCGATCCGTGGTGAGGATTCTGCTTGTTGCGTTGTTGTTGTCGTCGTCCCACCCGCGACCCGCCCGCCACCCACCCCGCGACCCACCCCGCGACCCACCCCGCGACCCAACCCGCGACCCACCCGCGACCCAGCCCGCCACCCACCCGCGACCCACCCCGCCACTCACCCGCCACCCACCCGCGACCCACCCGCGACCCACCCGCGACCCACCCGCGACCCACCCCGCGACCCACCCCGCGACCCATCCGCGACCCACCCGCGACCCACCCCGCGATCCACTTGCGACCCACTTGCGATCCACCCCGCGACCCACCCGCGACCCACTTGCGACCCACCCGCGACCCAACAGCGATCCACCCGCGACCCACCCGCGACCCACCCGCGACCCATTTGCGACCCACCCGCGACGCACCCGCGACCTACCCACATTGGTTTAGCGAAATAATCGGCGCCTGCGGCGGGCTCGTGGCATGATTTGTGAACTTTTGGCGCCTGCGGAGGTCTTCTCCAGAGTCTCGCAAACTGCCGACGTCCGCACCGCCCCCTCACTCTTATCCGCATCTGCGGGGTGCTACGTATTCGATACTTCTTCAAAATTAGGCCATGCTACGCGCTGCTATGCTACGCCATGCAGTACCAGGGTAAGCCATGCGACGCGATGACACATCTGACATACAATTATTGACGCGTCGTGTGTTCTCATACTCACCTTTACGGCCATCAGCCGGTCCCTGGCTCCCTGCCTCTCTCTCTCTCTCTCTCCCTCTCTCTCTATACAGGAAGAATGGGACGGCCGTCAGCCGTGTGTTCCTGCATCACCCGGGCAGACTCTGCACAATGTCCGTTCTGGCTTTGCTCACTTCATTTCCGTTGTTCCAGCAGACTCGGGTGTCGCCCCGGACATGGACCCTCAGACCGCTGCCCCGGGCCAGCTCCCAGCAACACCGCAACTCCGCGGAGGAGTTCCACGGGCTGAGGGCTGTCCCCACAGCCGCGGGACCACCATCCGCGCAAGGGTCAGACCCTGGCCAGCACCCGCTCCAGACAGCAGCTGGCAGTGGAGCTCGTCGCCGAAGACAGGGCTCTCGGCACCAGTGGAGCTGCTGAAATAGGTGTCCTGGAACTCCCTTCGGAAAGAAACAAGTGCACACGGCCATCAGCCGTTCCCTGGCAGTTCCCTCCCAGACGATCAGACGGCCATCAGCAGTGAGACGGAGCACCGTCCCAGCGCCGTCGAGCAGACGGACGACTACGGCGCCCCCAGGGCCACCAGATCAGAGTTCGGGTTGATAGGGTACACAGGATACCAAGAGGGTGGACGGCCATCAGCCGTGTCAAGGAACGTCCTCAAGTCAATCCCCTGGCTTCGTGTGTTCTCATACTAACCTGTACGGCCATCAGCCGTTCCCTGGCCCCCTGCCTCTCTCTGTCTCTCCCTCTCTCTCTCTACATGAAGAATGGGACGGCCATCAGCCGTGTGTTCCTGCAACCAGACTTGCAATGCTCGTGCGGCCATCAGCCGTCCCCTGGCGTTGGTCACCCTGGAGGACGCCTCTTCCACCGTGCCGAATCGGTGATGTCAGTTCCCACCTGCCCCGGTCTCTCCTTCCCGCGTAATTTGCGGTTCCCTCTACGCGGCGTCCTCGTCACGCGCCCCTTGGCCAGCCCCCACGGTTGCTTCTGCAATTCCTGGTCGTCTGGCCACAACAGTTGCTCAGCAGGCCGTGTCTGGTGCCGGCCCCTTGGAGGCTCACCCGCCGTTTCACTCAGGAGTGGTTCAGCCTTCTTGCAATGGTCGGCAACTCACCCACTCGCGCATCGGTACCGCCTCTCGGCACTTACCTCGCCACAGCTGTGGCTGTGACCCCTGGCGCCCTGTGGCGACAAGGTCCATCTGGTACCGGGTGCCCTCCCCCCGCGGTGCCCACTCGAGCTCGTGTGCTCTCGCACCCCTCGGGCTCCGCTCCCCTGGCTGCGCGCCTCCACACCAGGTTCGCCCGTCTGGTGGCACCGCCCCGCTCGGCTGACGTGTGGCCTGTTGCTACAGAGCAGGTCACTTCTCCTGGCGTACTGGAGCAATTCACTCGCATGGTGCATCTGCTACCCTGGCCGTTTGCAGTCAGCTCAGCCAGCTCCCCATCAGCCCGCGGCCCCAACGGCGGTAGGCACTGAGTGCGGGCCCAGCCGCTGCATTTAGGCTGGCGCGTTGGCAATTTGACAGGCCCGTGGCCCGGACCTCTCAGTTCGGCGACTGCGAATCCGCGTCCGCCCGCGACCGAAAGAAAATCCACAGTATCTTATTCAGAGACGAGGTCCAGGGGAGTCGCCAGTATGATGGACGTAGAGAAGCATGTGGTGAGACAAAGAGGCTACAACCAGTGAGTCTATAGACCGCTGGGAGCTTATTTCAGACCTCCTGGAGCCATATTGGAGCTTTCTTGCGGCCCTTTTGAGGGCTCATGTTGCCCTCCTTGGTCTCTTTTTGGGCCCTCGTGGTGGTTTCGAGGACCACCATGAGGTTATCTGGAAGAACATTTGTCCAAAAGGAAAACCCTCAATGAACGCTGTCATCCTTCGGAGCCCGATTGTTCTCGGGCATCTTCAAGATCCTCATGGAGACCTTCTGGGTCTTCTTGGGAGTATGTTTGGCGATCTTTTAACCATGTGGCATTGCTGTCTACGAAACGTTTTGAGGATGCATTATGTGATCGTTTCGCATCACCGTCACATTGCCGTTCTCCTGGTTCAAGGAACGCGTCCCCAACACGAGAAGTCAACGTAGTTCGCTTTGCGGTCGACTCTATTTGAGACCGTTGAGGCCAATCGGTCACCAAAAATATCAGCGATGCCGCCGATCGTCATCGTCGACGTCAACCCAGAGTCCGACCCATAATCGCTCGGAATGTATCTTAATGGGCGCACATACCCGCCTGGCTCAGTGGCCGATACGTTTGGCGATTCGCCAGACCCAACTGGGATTTCGCCCATCGCTGACCCGTGGGTTACACTCCCATGAAGTTTCGGCTAGTTATTAATCGCTTCGCTCATTCCGCCGGCCCGTATTGTGCCATCGCAGGCGTTTGCTTGCGCGTTCGTGGCCTCTTGGAGCCTCGTTGGGGCCGTTTTGGGCCTCTTGGCGCCTCTTTTTAGGCCTCTTGGAAAATTCGGGAGGCCTCCAGAGGGCCTCCTGGGCTCTCGTGACGGTCTTTTGGGGGGCTTTCGGCGGGCTCTTGGCGGTATTTGTTGGCCCTCTTGGGGCCTGGGGCCTGACGTTGTTGGTCCTCTTGGGGCCTCACGGGGGCTTACTGGGGCGTCTTAGTGTCTTGGAGAGTCTCTTGGGGCCTCTTTCGGGGTCCTGGGCGCCTTCTGGGGCGGAGGGCTAGATTTTTCAGTTCTCGGTTCCCTTCTTGAGCCCCTCTTGGGCCCGTCTTGGGGCCTCTTGGTCCGCCTTCTTGGGCCGTCCGTCTTGGGGCCTTCTTGGTCCGCCTTGGGCGGCACTTGGGCCGTCTGGAGGGCGCTCTTGGGCCGCTCCGGGGCCGTCTTGGGAGCTTCGTGGGCCGTCTTGGAGCATTCTTGAAGGCCTCTTGGGCCCTCTTGGAGCGTCCGGAAGCGAAAAGGCCAGAACGCAAAAAAACATAGAAAAAACAATGAAAATCAACGATTTTGGCAACTTG